GGCAGAAATGTAGATATTGCTGCCTATTAAATCTCTGGACCAGTTTCAATGAGGCTCAGTCAGTGCTAAAACTATATAGGAAATAAGCTGGGGAAAGGCACAGGAATAAGCACAGCATTACTGCAGTCTGTGAGTGTGTCCTGTTATCTGTTCTTCCTGGAAAGATGTTCAACACCAGATTAAAATAGCAATAAGGGTAGCTGTGCCTAGGAAACCATACAGTCTTCTGTTAGCTTCCTACACAGTACTGAGCAGAGGAGACTTCCCCTGAAGTTTTGCATGCTGCTGCCACTTATGTAATTTCTCTCTGCGTCAACTAGGTTTATATGGCTTTCCTAAGCATTTCAGGCTGTTTTTCACCATCAGGGAGGGTGCTGGGGATGTAGCAGGGTGGAAATGCTCCTTCAAGTATGTAGCAGAGAGCCTGCTAAATTGGAGCTGCTTTTGGTGGTACTGATATGTATGGCCAGCCTGTGCTCGAGGGCTCTGGCTTGTTTTTGCCCCATAGAGAGCAGGACAAGCTGGGAAGCAACATCCTGCAGCAGCGTGGGCAGTGCTTGACTCAAGGGAAAACACGCTGGGAAACTAAAGCATAATCTATTTTACTCAAATTGGAGATAATTATACTCACAGTGTTTGACTGCAGGTATACAGCCATGCTGTGCTGCTGGCTCTGCCTTGCAAGTCAGAGGATGCTTTGTGTAAGGGGGATTTAGGGTCCCTTGTGCAAATCTGAAGAGCAGCCCTTTTTAAAAGATCCCCAAGACTATTTGTCTCTTGCTTTTAAGGAAATAAGACAAAGACCCAGATAAGGAAAGTTTGTTTTGTTTCCAGGTTCTCTGACTGACCAGGTAAGATCTATGGACCTGTCAGTGGCAGGCAAAGCAAATACAGGCATGGAAAGATCTGACTGATGGAAAGCATCCACCATCAGAATTCAATTGGAAATGACAGCAAGAGAGACTGGTTGAAGATCTACCAGCTCTAGAGAGGGAGAAAGCAGAAAGGTGTTACAGAAGAAAGACAAAAGACAGGTAGATGTGTAGGCAGAAGTGTAGGAAAAAAGTAAGGAGGGTGTGCTAGCAAGGATAAAAGATATCCCTGCTGTCTTGGTCCTAAGGATCTATCCATATGTTGGTAAAGAGGTTACAAAAGGTAGAAAAATTTTGTAGATAAGAGAGAGGGAGAGAAGCTATGCCAAGGTCTTGTCCAGATGGAACAGGAGATGATCACAGCACAGGAGGGGTAACAGATGCAAGGTCAAGGGTCAAGGTTTTGACATGTTGAGAGGAGACAACAATACATGTAGGAACTTACTGAATGTGTAGAAAAAAAGCTGAGATCAATAGCTGAATGTGACTCAGATGATATAATTATTAGTAAATGTTTACATTTAGTAAGTGAGCAAGTACAAAATGTCAGAGACCTGCATAAGCTCCCTTCATTGCTTAATGTCCCAACTGTCCCCAGTGTGACCTGGCTAACGGTTAACCCTGTGGTCAGAGCATGAGTTTGGTGTTATCTGTTGACTTAAGTGTTTAAGACTGATCTTCATAATGCATGTTTACATAATTTTATAGCACATAACAGATATTTCCCTTTTTGTTTATTCCATTTAATTTTGCTGTCAGAGTTTCCCTTCCCAGCTCTCTTAAAAGCTGGGAGGGGAATTGAAAAGCTAGTTGCTAATTGTGGAAATCCTCGCCTTAGAGAGTTAGCAGAGCTCTTAAAGTAAACGTTATTGCATTGAAAGCTATGTAAAATCCCAGAAGGCCCAGAGAGGTTTTCTCTGAAATTCTCTGCTCCAGTTTCAGGCAAAGAGTCCGCTAATGTCTCAAAAGCAGGAGGGAGGGAAGGAGTGAGTGAGCTCCAGCCATTTGATGTAACATCTCTGGTGGGGATAAACATAACAGCTCAGATTGTCAAAACCCAGTCTCCTCCATAAAGGTGCAACAGACCTGCTTGCAGTTACTCTGATGTGTGCAGTTTTGCACAGCTTCCTTCTGATATACAGCACAAAAAAATACATATGAATATAGCAATTGGGTTGCTCTGAACTCCTGCTGGTTTTAGTATTTTTATCTCACCTCTGAGGTGCACAGTCCCAGTAAACTGGCAGTGTTTTGACACAGCTGCCTTGGCAGGTTAGTATCTACACAGCCAAAACCAGGTAACAGATCTGGCAACACTCATGCAAATTGCTCACCACTTTCCTCCAGGAGACTCCAGACTCAGCTGGTTTGTCTGACAGATGCTGGCAGGCTGCTGGTTTCACACCAGCCTCCTTCTCCAGCATTGTCCCAGAGGCATCAGGTGTACCAAGAGTCAGCCTTGCATGCCACAGCCTGACACCAAACAGCAGAGACAGCCTAAGAAGCCTTCTCATTTCTGCCAGGGAGGTTTGCATTGCTGCTTGTGAGAGTTATATATTCGATTTTCCCACGCTAAATGCTACATTCTTGCCCTCTAGATTCAAGTATGTTGATTCTATTTCCTGAAACTGAGCAGGAGTGTTTAAAAACAAAGCTTCTATATTCCCACCATAAAACCTGCCTCATGATGAGATTTAGCATTGCTGTTGATGAAATTCCTCTGAGGAATGTCACAATTCTGATGTGGGAAAGCAAGAAACAAGGTCCTCTTCCCATCCCACAAAAGATAAAGGTAAAAAATAAAACAAAATACCATAAGAGCAAATGCTTAACAGTCCTCTCCTCCACAGTCATCCAGATGACCTCAACTTTGCCTTTTCAGAGACCACAAAGGATAAAATAACTTATTCTTGTGTTGAAATTGCTATGCCAGTGGCTGTTACACTGAATAGATGCAGAACCTGGTGCATACAACTAATGTCCAATGAGATGGGTGAAAAAAAAATACTTTAGTCTTATGCCTTCTGGAATATGCAAAATCATATTTTAGTAGAAGGTTTGAGGTAGCCTTAATGATTGATTGCTTCGTAATGACAAGAATAATTGTTATTTATGAACAAAGTTAGGCTGTTCTGCGATAGCATTAATCCACTGCCGGGCGACGTGCAAACCCGACGCCCCCAAAGACCTCAACAGACCACGGTAATGATGGTGAGGGGGATCCCAGCAAGGATAAGGAGTTGGGGACCTGAAGCACAAGCCCTTACCCCGCCCTTAACTCCCCCCACCTGTGCACCGCTTGTCTTAGCTCTGGGCTGGGGGTTCAGGGGGCCGGCAGGTGCAGTCCGGCCGGGCTGAGGGGCACCTCTAGGGGCTGCTGTGCCGCCGTCGCTGCGGGGAGCGGGAGAAGCGGCGAAGTTGTGAGGTCGCAGCGGCGGCCGGACATCCCGCGGTGGGCACGGCTCCTTACCGATGTGCTCGATGAGGTTCCTCCAGGAGTCGGCCGTCATGGGGTGCGCGGGCGGTGCCGTGCCGGGGGCTGAGGTCTCCTCAGCGGCGGCGGGGACCCTGCGGGGAGGCGGAGGCGCCCTCAGAGCAGTGGCGGGACAGCGGCCGCAGAGCCGCCTGTACGCTCGCCGCGCCCCGCGCCCCTCACCCTCAGCTCTCCCCTCACCTGCTGAGCTGTCCCGGCGAGCCGTCCTGGTCGAAGGCGCAGGCGGCGCTGAGGGCCGCGGCCAGCAGCTCCATGGCCGGTGGCGGCAGGCGGCTGCCCAGCAGCTCCGGCGGCAGCGGCGGCGGCGGTGCGGGGCTGGGGGAGCCCGGGCGGTTGCCACGGTAACGGGGGTAGGAAGGCAGCAGCCTGCACGGCAGGGAGGGAGGGAGAGGGGACTTGCAGCCGCCCTCGGGACGCCCCCGCAGCCCGCCTCCACCCCGGCCCTCTGAGCCCCAAAGCCTCCTCAGAGCCTCTCTGGTCTCCTCAGAGTCTCTCCTCAGACACCCACTTCTCCCAAAGCGTCCCCATGGCTCTCCCCTAAAATCTCTAGACAGCCTCCTCAAATCCCCTCAGAGCCTCCCCTCAGACCTTCCGTAAGGCATCTCCAGGGGCTCTCCACCCAAATCCTCCCAGAGCCCCCTCAGATTCTCCTTAAACCTCACCACAGATTTTCCCCACAGAGACCCCCGCAAGATCCCCCCAGACCTTCCCGCGGGCTTCCACCAGCCCCTCAGAGACCCCCTAGCCCCTTGCAGCCTCTCTCCTCGTTCCCAGATTTCCTCCGAGGCTCCACGGAGTTCTGCCAAATGCCGGCGGAGCTCCCTCAGCTTTCCCCAAATCCCTCCCGAGACCCCTCGAAGCCCGGCAGTTCCCAGCCCCTGTTCCTCGGAGATCTCAGAGCTCCCGCCTGACCCCTGAGTTCCCCCAGAGCTTCTCAGAGCCCCCGCTGCAGACCCTCTCAGCGCCACCAAAATATTTTCCGAGCCCCCGCAGACCCCTCAGGTGTCGTGTCGTTCCCTTCCTCCCCAGGTTCCCCTCTCAGAGCCCCGGTCCCGGTACTCCTGCCCGCAGAGACCTCCTCAGCCCCCGGGTTCCCCTCCGGCGCAGGTCCCTCCTCCGCCGGGAGGCTGACTCCCTCCTCCCCGAGGGCCCCGCCAAAAGGCAGCAGTCCCTGCCCCAGCGGCCCCCCACCTCCACAGGCCCTCCTACCTCCATTCCCCCTCAGCTCCTGCAGAGGGGTTTCTTCCCTCGACGAAGGGAAGCCCTTTCCTCCGTTCGCTCCCTCCCTCCCTCCCCAGCAAGGCACCCTCCCCCAGCGAGCACCCACACACCCCGTCCCACCTCATGCCACAGCCCCTCTGTTCCATGCACCGCACCGGGAGGGGGTCCTGCCCCGGCACTGACCTCCCGTCCCTCAGCCCCGGGGCGCAGCGCTGCCCCCCATCCCCTGCACCTCTCTGCTTATGTGTGGATGGCGCCGGCTTTGAGGGAGGAAAGGGGGTGGCAGAGGGGGGTTCTCCTGAACTGCTTCCAGATCTGGTGCATATGGTGCATTTCTTCTCCAGGAGTGAAACCCTGATATGGAGGAATGTAACTGGGAAACTCAGCCTAATCCCTCCTGCCGGGAAGCGCACTCTTGATTACCCCACAGGATTGGCTGCTATTCGCCTCTCCTTCTCCGGCAGGGCTCCGCACCCGCTCGGTCATTTCCCTCATCTCCCCTTCCTTAGCGTCGCTACTTCCATAAGGATATATTCCCTCGTTTAGGAAGTAAGTATCTCAGTACTCAGTAATCTATATCTGTCTTCGTTCAGGTAATTGTTTTTCTGCCTCAGGGATAAATTCTCTTGAGCTCCAGAGTACGGTTACATCCTTGCATCAGTTCAAGTGGTTGTTGTCAGGTTGGGTGCAGCTCTTCACCACACGTTAGTAACCCTTAGTAAAAAAAAAGTCGCCTGGACCATGTTGCAACTGAGGAGTTAACAGAGGAAAAATGCTCTGCTATTCCTTGTGCTTGCTCTCTCCCTGTTGCATAAATTACTATGATTTTTTTCTGTATGTGATAGAGCAATTTATGCAACAACATAAAATCCATGTGTTGGTCTGTATGTGTAAAATGGCTTCCTTTTTATCATTTTTATATTGGTTTTGCTAAATGATATGTCAGGATCACTTTTAATCAGCACATGACGATACATCCAGAGAAACTCCTTCAGCTTATGTGAACTAGATCTAGATCTGGCACACAGGAGAGCTCAGTTGTTAAGTCATTAAGAAGCAGAATGGGAAAGGAAAACAGCTGGAAATGTCACTGAGGGCTCAGAGAGGGCTGCAAGTGTGGTCTTTGTGAAGTCCCAGATCAGGAGGTCAGAAGAACCATGCAACTGAAAGGAAATACCAGGGTGAGGATGAGAGCTGGAGCCTGTGTTGTACTTACAGAGGAGCAAGAGAGCCTGAGACTGTGGCTGAGATTGTCACTGAGATGGTCAGTATAGTTATCAGCCATTAAACACTGGGCATTAGGGGGCTGGGGCTGCCAGGTGAATGTGCCCAAAACCTTGTGGAAGGGATAAAGCAGCAGCAACTCTCTGAAGGTCATTTTTGGTGGCTTGCTGTCAGGGCAAGAATATTGTCAAGGGTTTTAGAGAGTGGGTAGGCTTTTAAAAAGCTTCTTTCTTAGAAAAAGGGAGCTTCTTCATTACCCTGAAATCTGGCAAATCTGCTATGCTGTTTACTGTTTTCTCAAGGGAAGGACCAAGAGCAGGGAAGAGTTCTCTCTAGTATGCAAGGTGAAATCAGTGTATAAGCTGTTAACTGGCACTACTAGAATGAACGTGTATTTAAATATAACTTTTGGATGAATTAAGAAAAAAAAAAAAAACAACAAACCAACCCAATCTTTCAGCTTAACTGGCACTACTAGAATGAACGTATATCTAAATATAACTTTTGGATGCATTAAGGAAAAAAAAAAACAACAAACCAACCCAATCTTTCAGAAGTGTGATTTAAGAGTTTAACAGATTCCTAACCCCTCACATCGCTTCACTCTCAAGGGTTAAATCTGTTTAAAATTGAATTTTCTTCTTAGAAAAATGTCTGGGTCATGCTATGAAAAGCATTCAGAAATAGAAAGCATCTTCTTATGATGTCGTAACTGGTAATTTGATCCTGCCTGTCTTCCCTTTTCTTTCACTTTTTCCAACATAATTTTACTTTTGGTCTGAGATGAAAACTTGAAAATATCACAGAAAGCAATAATGCTAATAAACCCAGTGGAAGCTCTGAAGAGGTGAAACACCAGCTAGAAGTGAAATGTCCCCTGTGGCCATGGCAGACCCAGCTTGTGTTTCTGTCTCAGAGAGCTGTTACACTGCATTGCAATGACCAGTACTCTAATTTTCCTTCCTTTACGATTGTTTCTTTTTTAATTCTAATTTGATCTTTCAAATATGTTTTTCTTCCTTCCTTCTTTCCCAGTTTCATTCTTGTAACAGAGAATATCCATAAACAAAGCAAGAAATACTGAGAAATACTTATTCTCCCAACTGAGGTGACAGAGTGTTCCCAGTACTCATGGGACTGGAACAAAAAAATTATATTTAGCAAGAAGGAGATATTTTTGTCCTACAAAATTTGCTGGAATTTTATAAGTCTTGCTTTTCTGTTTGGGGACAAAACAGAAAGCTTTTAAAGTTTGACACAAAAACTAAAGGCAGGCAAACAAATGATTCTGTCAGAGTGGTCTGGCAACTGGGATTGTCATGCTGAGGGTGGGGGATCCAGGTCAGAGTCAGAGGTGTATTATTCCCTTGCACCCCACATGTTACTGCCTGTTCCAGGGCAGGTGAGTCTCTTCCTGCAGCTGCTCTTTCTCTGGTCACTCAGAAAGGTTCTTGAACATGCCAAATGCCCTATTCACCAGATACTACTTTAAGTTAGTCAATACTGAACTATTTCTATGAAGTAGAATAGCTGTAAGATGCCTCCCTATTTCCACAATTGTTAGGATCTTTTATGCAGTTTAAGCTGATACAGCTGCTCAATTCTACTTCTTTTCCCCACTAAACTCCCTGAGGCAGATATCTACCTCTGCCTTTATGCCATCACTTACTCAAGCTTATCCCATTCACAGGAAGCAAGTCTGGGCAGCTAAACTCTTGGAAAATGATTCTCTTTTTTTCAGTAGAATTAGATCTGTGTGTGTATTGTCTCACTACAGAGTGAGCTCAAAGTGAGTGCCAGCAGAGCAGAAGTGGCAGACGTGCAGATGGATGTCAAGACCATGGCAGTGCTACCTTGGATAAATTTTCACTGCTGTGAAATGGCAGGCTCAGGCCTGGAGAGGTTCCTACTCCACCTAATGTTAAACATGAGGTAGGAGTTTAGAGGAGGTGTACTTTTTTCTCTCACTGTAACATCAAGCAATTTGAGCCAGAGCCTAAAGAGTTTTCCTCCAGTTACCAAAATCAGTACGAACTCATGATAACAAACCAGTTTTCTCACCACAATCCTTTAAATTAATCCTAAAATTCCTTGTCTAGTTGTAGGGGGAAAGAAAGACTCTGACTACTAGAACAGTATACATTAAAGCCCCATAATATTTCTCCTGCAGCACTGTAGAAGCGGTGCTGTGTGACCTCTGCTCTTGCTGGTGACAGAAGCCATGCAATGCCCCAACAGACCAAATCACAGTTTTGTCTCTGGAACTCTTAGGATCTGCAAAGATAAAGGCACTGGAAATGATGCTTGGTGGCCATGCTCTATTGATATGGAGCATGATCATGGTTCAGCTCCCTGTGTACAAAGGGAAGGGGGTTTGAGCTTGCATATATTCTGCAAAGAAGGGTTTGTGTTGTTGCAGACTGTTTCCAGCTTCACTGTACTGCTGCTAGAAAAGATATGAAATACTGGCTGACCTGGTCCATGTTGTGTTAAAAATGTGATGATTTATGAGAGTTTATAATTAGTTTATGGCAATTATCTCATTTAAGTTACACTTGAGGGATGAATTCCCAATCTTGGTTTGTATTTTCAGGCACTAGTAATTTTGAAAAATGAGTAATCATTTAAATTAAGATTTATTATATGTATTTCAAACCAAAAACAATCCTCGGAATAAAGCCATCCAAAGAGCTTGTTTTTGAATGCAATTTAAATGCATTTTCTAAATGTTGTCTTATAGCAATTTTTAGAAATCATATCTCCTCTTCCAGAAACTAAAAAGAGGCAGCCCAGCAGATCTTATTCATGAAAAATTCCCCAAACTCTTCTAGTCAGTGGGAGTTTCACACCACGAAAGGCCACAAGATGAGGTAAGAAGCACTTTTTAAATCTGAGCTAACCAAATTATTGAGAAGTGTGAAGTTACTAATAGATTTGAATGTTATACCTAGTCAAGGACTTTTCGTACCTCAGTTTCATTCAGGTTCCCTCTGTTCATGTGTATATTTTAACAGTGATTTTGGTAATCGGTATGTCTGGGCCCTTTCTATTCCTGACTTTTGACTTTTTAATGGTAGACAGGCAGAAATTCTCATCCCTAGTATTTTTAGATCCTAAAGCCTAGGAACATATCTGTTCTTCCAAAGCTCCTTAAGCTTTCATCAGAACACCTTAGTTATATCTGTTGGCAGCCTTACCAATAACTAAAAATGTTCAGAAATTCCATCTATGAGATCTTTATGTGCTTCTAACATTTACATGCTTGTAATCATCAGGGTTATCCTTTTACTTACTGACCATCTGCCAGAGAGACAAGAGTTTTTTTATATATTAAAAAAACCCAAAACTATTTATTAGACTTAGGAAAATATTATTGGATCCCTGTTTTTCTCTCATTCAAGAAACTTTGCTTTCTGTTGATATGCAAAATGACATTTTGGGGTTGCAAAGGTTTTATCTTCTGCACACTCATGAAAATCCATACAATTATAGGCCCTTTTCCACTGTCCACAATGCACACAAATTTTAGATTTTAGCACCTAAAATTCCTGAGCTGATTCCTGATAGAAAAGGAGTGAAAAAAAGAGATTGATGGAGAACTTGGGGGTCAGGGCATGTCCAGATGAAGCAGATCAGATTGGCAGACCTGGAGGGCAAAGCCTAGACCTTGCACAGTAATGAAAATATGAGTAGGCTGAAAAACCTGGCAAGCAGAGAATGGGTGGAATAGGTGGGCAGGCTGGGATTGGGATCTACATTGGCTCTATGCTGGAAGGATGCTTTATTAGAATTGTGTATGTTATTCCTTGCTATTCTGTGTGATCCTGTGAAATATGATATTTTCACAGTAGTGACATTTTAATACCTACAGTGGCTATTTTTACTGAAAATGTATTGGTTTTTAAAATACTTCTCCCTGAAAATATGGTTGCTCTTAGACTTTTTAGGATGCAGATTGCACAAAAAGAGGGATAGAAAAGAAACCTATTTATCTATCTCTGAAAGAACAAAAATTTGTTGTAGAGCAACAAAATTTAAAGATTTGGTCAACAGGTGTTTGCACCAGCTATTAATGAGTTCACCACTTGCAAACTGAAGCACCATTGGCAGCATAAAGAGGAGGTAACTTTAAGAAATGTATTTCATTAATAGAAGGAAACTTGCTCAAATATGATGTAAGTCCTTTTGCAATCCAGGTCCTGGACTCCCCAGAGGCTTTTCCTGCTCTTCTGATTAAATCAGGCTATAAAAGCAGTGCCCTCTGCTGCCCAGGACCGAGAGTGCTGGGCTGAGGCATGTTAACCCAAACTCACATGAGCACCCTTCAGAGTGCTCTGCTAGTTCAGGTGTGTACTGCTTCTCTCTCATACATGTGTTTGCAGGAATTCAAACAAGCTAGACTGCCTCTTGCTGCCGGAGGTGACTATCTGTATTCATTGTTGGAGTACTTCCATTCTTTGAGCTCAGATCAAATGTGATCAAAGGGTTTTTAGATGGTCCTTGGTTATCTGAATTGGAGGCTTCATAAGCAGCATAAAAAAATCGTTTGCTCTGCACTGGTAGACCAATGGCCTCCATGAGCTTTGCAGAATGAACTTTCACACTGCATTTTTCTTCTAATGTATCTTCTGCAGCAGCTTTCCATGATCTCTGCACAACTGCTGCCACACTGGAGCTGGAAGGACTGATCCCAGTGTGAAAGAGCAGCTTTTTATGAGTTCAGCTCCTTCCAGGACTTTGGCTCTGGTTACTCTGGGAAGCAGAAGTTGTGCTAGAAGCTCAGCACTGATGTGGTCAGGGCAAGTCAGCCGAGTTGTTGGAAAGTGGCTTGTCATTGTAGGGGTTTGGACCTTTGTACAATGGGCAAGACTGAGAGGAAGCCATGGAATGTAGTGGAGAACTCTAGAATGCTTAGGGGGAGCTGGAGATCATGTAAGAGAACGGTCATGGGGAAAAAAATATCATTTGAGCATAGCTAGGCATAAAAATTCTCTTAGGAAGTATCTTATGGATGGCCTGTAGCCATCCAGAGTTTGGAACACCAGCTTGAGGACATCTTGTGTTCAAACATCAATATTGTGAGATCAGTGAATTACTGTACTGAATCTTTGAAAGACACGTAGATTCAAATCAAAATCCCCATCTGAGCACAATGCAGATGACAATTCCTTTTCCTGAGCTCTTTACTATGTTCCCCAGCTGTGTTTACTTCCTGCCCTGAATTATGTAGCATGGCTATATGTGAAATGACATCCTTGCCTGTGAAGAACCCATTTGTGTCAGACCTGCTGATTATCTTCATGCAAGAAGAAGGGATTGTGACTGCCCAGCCCTAATATTTATATGGTTGCTGTAGGATGCTTCTGAGTGTGAAGAGATGCAGCACTGCTGCCCCACTTGCCCTCAGGACTGTGGTGATCCACTCCTGAGAATGTCATAGATCTTCCCAGTCCTGGTCAGAGGTGCCTGTACTGTCTCTTCTGCAGAACTGGTAACTTCTGCTTTCAGAAGAATGGTCAGCTGGCAGGCACCAGATTTATTCTTTTGGGAGAAATTAAATGTATTTCTTGAGACCAGCAATAATATTATAAATATGTTATCTGCATAATGGCCATTTTTTCCAAATAGAAATGAGATACTATTGACTACTACAAGTAATGGCATTTTTCTGTGCTCTTGCGTGTTTTCCCACTGCAGATTTCTAGTGGTTCTCCTATAAATTACAACTGATCTTTTGGAGAAGGAAGGAGAACATGGGTTGAATTTGAGCTGGAACTTGGGTCTCATTCTCTGTTAAATCTCTGTACTCATTTTCAAGAGATGCCACTCAGCAGGACTGCCTGCTTTTAGCAGACACATGGCTTAGAACCTGTACTGACCTGCCAGGCTCTGTGCACAGCAGCATCTTTGATACAACTAACTCCTGGCACAGGCTCATTGTTTCCAGCTCCAGGGAGAATCAGAAATTGCACATTTCAGAGCTGCCTAAGTGTCAGTGTCAGGATGTCAGAGTGACAGTGATGATTATGCCCCAAGGAAAGGAAGACAGATAGGTTTGACATTGCAGCAGACTGTGGCTGTCTAGTTTCATATGCTCAGTTTACAGCCAAGGGGCAATCAATTTTGGCCAAGGCAATTAATTTATTTAAATCCAACTTGACATTTGGCTAAAATTGTTCTGTTGGAGTCCTCTCCACAAGGAAAGGTTCCTGGGAAAGCACTCTGTATTACCCCAACACAGCTGGTCTCAGTAATTAGCAGCAGACGGTGCAGCAGGATTCATGCACCCTTAGAGGACAAGTGCTTACTGCTTCCAGCTTAAGCTACAGCAGAAGGAGGGACTATCTCACAGTTGCACACACAGGGGGTGAGTAGTTGGAGTGAGTTTGGGAGAAATCCCTACATTTTCAAATATAACTGAGGTTATGTATCTGCTCCTTTCTCTGCCTGGCTTCAGTGGCAAGAGAGCAGGAGTGAGGGCAGATTTATGGGATGCATGCTCTGACATATGAGACTAGGGTCTTCTGCTGGACCTTTTTATTGAGGGATTTAAGTCAAAAAAGACTACCTCACTGAAAGCCTCTGTTGCTTGTCAGCTCTTTAAAGTAAAAAGCAAACAAAAAGTCTGGATATTTTAGAAAAAATCTTTGTAGCTACTTCTTCAGCTCTAAAATCCTGTTTTCCATGCAGGATTGTGTAACAGGCTTCAGAAGAGCTCTCTGTGAAGGCCAAGAATGAGATTACCCTGATGCTGGGATGTTCCATAACAAAATGCTGGCTCTCCTTATTCTCAAGAAACTGTTTAAGGCAGTCTGCCCAGTTTGCTAGCATTGCTGGGTGATCCTGCATCACATTCCCCATTTTTCTATTTTCCCCACTTCTTCCTGTTCCCCCTTTTCCCTTCACTTCTTCCCCAAACCCACATTGACAAGACCCTTTTACCACCATGCTAATACTCTGCAGTATAAGTCATTCAGACTGAAAGCAGCACCACAAATCAAGGTGAGAAGGCATGGATCAGAGCTACAGCTTAGTCCAGCTGTCCTTCCCAAAATAAGCATTCCCACTCTGACACCATTGACTAGTTTTCAGGGAAGGCATGGGGAATACCTTGCATGGGAACCTCCTTACCTTTGGATCAATAATTCATCTAATGTTGTTGGATCAGAGTTTGATGGAGATGGTGATCCCTTATGTGATAAAACATGCAGAGTCTCTTTGATGGGCTCAATGTTTTTGAGTGAACCTGTGATATAAGAGAAAGCCAAGAGGGTGTTAAAACAGTAATTTTCCTAATTTACCTTTACTGTATGTAGTGGTTTGCTGACACCTAAGGCAACAGGAAAACCACAAGACACAAAGATGGTTACATTTTAGCTTTGATTTTCGAACAAGATTGAAGTGTCATCCTCTTGTATAATGCAAATGCAGCTGAGACAAGGTGAAGTTGGATTTAGGGTATCAGTTCTTGTGTAGGGGAGTAGCACTCTCACCACTGCAGGCTGGGTCCCAACATGAGTGATTTTCAGTGCAATTATTTAGGCAGAAAATGTTCAGCTGTGTGTGCCTGTACATGCCAATATTTGGTTTGCCAAATCAAGGCTTCATTACTGCTCTGCTTTACAGCATCTGCATTCTGAAGATGTTCCATTTACTAGATAAATCCAGGTTAGATGTGGTGAGAGAGGAGCTTTACTTTTAATTGCTTCTGCAATTTCCCTCTGATGAACCACTGATCCTTTCACAGGGAGTCAAAGTTGCATCAAGTCCAAGGCTTACTACTGCAATAGTTGGCAGAAGAGGATGCATCTCAATTTTCAAATGAAATCTCCCATTGTTTGAGGCTTGTTGATAAATGGCCTTGCTGTTT